ATGTAAGATTGAGATTCCATTTATAATTTATGCAGATATCGAATCTTTGCTAATAACACAGGATGATGAAACTACTTTTAATGAAAAGAAGGTCCCAAAGGGTGCAATACATAGGCATATTCCAAACAGTATTGCATACTATTTTCATTCGCGATTCGATCCCAATCTATCGCATTATGAACATTTTGAAGGCATTGATTGCATAAATCAATTCGTCCAAAAGCTGGAATTTATAATGGAACATATTGTATGGCCGAAAATTCATAAAATTAAACCCATGTCATTGACTGATGATGAAGAAGATGAATTCGAAAGCTCAAGCTTTTGTCATATTTGTCGGAAATCATTTTTCAGTCGTAAAAAATCAAATCGCAAAGTTAAAGACCATTGTCACTTAACGGGCAGGTATCGAGGAGCTGCCCATTCAAAATGCAATTTACAATTTCAGATATCGAAATCGGTACCGGTAGTTTTTCATAATTTGGATTACGATTGTCACTTCCTGATTGAAAAAGTGGCAAACGCTTTTCCCGGTGATGTCAAATTGATTCCTAAAAACAGCGAACATTATATTGCATTTTCAAAGGATTTGCCTGATTATAATGAAATTTACGACGATGGCGAAGATGATGACGATGATAGTGATGAAATTTTCGAACATTCAAAAACTAAATATCGGGAAAGATTGCGGCTGAGATTTATTGATTCCTACAGATTCTTACAGTGTTCTTTAGCAGAGCTTGCAAAGACCCTTCCATCAAAGAAGTTACATATTACTCGAAGACAATGGGCTAATTTAAGTGAGTCAGAATTGGAATTGCTCACATCGAAAGGAGTATATCCATATACTTTTATGGACTCATGGGAAAAGCTCAATGAAACGAAACTACCAACAATTGATCAATTTTATGATGATCTGAATGATTGCGGAATATCCAAGGAGCAATATACCCATGCCCAAAAGGTATGGAACACATTCAATATACATTCATTGAGGGAATATACAGAATTATATCTTAAGACGGATGTACTTTTGCTTGCTGACATTTTCGAAAATTTTCGTGACAATTGCATAGCACTGTATGAACTAGATCCGAGTCACTATTACACACTCCCTGGGTATTCTTGGGATTGTATGCTCAAAGTTACGCAGGTACAAATAGAGCTTTTAACCGATGTCGATCAACTTATGTTTGTTGAACGTGGACTAAGGGGGGGAATTAGTCAGTGCTCAAACCATTATTCTAAAGCAAATAATAAGTTTATGGGTGCAGACTATAATCCAAATATACCATCAAATTATATAATGTATTTTGATGTTAATAACCTGTATGGATGGGCCATGTGCGAAGCACTCCCATTATCTGAATATAGATGGGATACCGATACATATTCTAGTGTTCATGAGATTCAACGCGAAATAATGGAAACATCAAACGATGCTGCTTATGGATCGATACTTGAAGTCGATTTAGAGTATCCACACTATCTACACGATAAACATAATGATTATCCGTTTTGCTGCGAGCACATGAATGTGGGTGAATCTTTGGAGAAAAGACTAGTGCTAACCCTTTCCGATAAGAAAAACTATGTTATTCATTACCGTATGTTGAAATTGGCGCTGAAGCATGGGCTTAAGTTGAAAAAAGTTCATAAAATTTTGACATTTAGACAGTCAAAATGGATGAAAGACTACATCGTGTTGAATACGAACGAAAGGGCGAAGAGTGAGACTAAATTTGAAAAAAATCTATATAAGCTCATGAATAATGCCGTATATGGTAAAACGATGGAAAATATTCGAAATCGTGCCGACATTAAATTAGTAAATAAATGGGATGGAAGGTATGGTATGGAGACATTAATTGCAAAACCAAATTTCAAACGATGCGTTATATTTGATGAAAACCTAGTGGCATGCGAACTGAGGCGATTGAATGTTTACATGACAAAACCAATAATCGTCGGCGCTGCAATATTGGACATTTCAAAATATAAAATGTATGAATTTCACTATGATTTCATGCTACAACATTTCAATCACAATCAATGTACATTACAATATACTGATACGGATAGTTTTCTCTACAGTTTCCAGTGTGAAATCATATACGATTTTATACGAAAGCATAAAGATAAATTTGATACAAGCGATTTTTCAAAAAATAATCCATATGGCATTCAACCGTTCAATAAAAAGGTTCTGGGTGTAATAAAGGATGAATATAATGGTGAAATTATTGAAGAGAGCATTTGTATTCGGTCAAAATTATATACCATCAAATTGAATGGTAATAAAATCACAAAAAGGGCAAAAGGTGTCAGAAGAAATGTCCTCGAGAATAAAATTAAGTTTGATGATTATAAGCGCTGCATCGACGGATTATTAAAAGACGAGGAAGCCATCAAAGATCAAGTTAGTTACAATAAAATCGTTTTTACACAACGTCTATACGGTAAAAAACCCAAAAAAAGTTCTAGATCCGAATGATGAAAAAAGATTTCGAATCCCCAATACATATAATACACTAGCTTTGGGTCACTACAAAATAGATTCATTTATGAAAAAAAAAGAAGCAAAACGAAAGCATGATTAATGTGAAAGAAATTTGACAATGAGTCATCGTTGCTGAGTCATCGTTGCTGAGTCATCGTTGCTGAGT